AGACAGTCAAACTCGTGAACAAACCTTTAAAATTCAGCAGTTTGACAGAAGTGCCAGGCTTGTGACGGACAACGACTGAGTTGGTAACAATTGTCACGTTGAAATCTGATGTATTCATCAGTTGTTTCTGCACAATTGTAATCGCTAGATCGACAGGCGACTAACGCCAGAGAATATCTCGAATTTCGAAGTTTCGAAAATTATCAAGCCTTGTCATACTAACGATCCTGTGAGGATTTTGAGTCGCACTCTTTCAGTCAATATCCAGTAATCATGACCGTAGGTGAGGGTTTGTATGGACAGATGGTTTAAAAATTGAATTTATAAATAAAATCTATTATTCATGGTTTTCATGCTTGTTACGGCATTGCTCAACACACTCATTTATTACGCAAACCACCGACTTTTCAGGCCATACTCGAAATGCCGCTGATTTGTTTAATAAACTATGCGCGGAGAAATACCGTAAGAAATATGAAAACCATAGAGTTAATCTCCCGCATAAAAGAAGAATCTTCAATTTTCAAAATTTATTCTTCTGATATCTCATCATTTTAATTTAATGATAATTGTGCTTTGTGCTAAATGATATATTATTTTTGATCTTTGGTCTATAAACTGCTATTAATCAAGATTACTATAAGTACTGTCTGCTTAGTATAATCTGTTTTAACCTTTGGCGGTTCAGCCTTTTCACCTGTCAACACTTTAAGCCATGCCGAATGTTGTTAAAACAGCTATTCAGCGCATCCTAGAAATAAACTTAAACAGTTATAAAAGTTGCTGAGCGGCAAGCGGCAATTTTGCACTTCATAAGGATTACGTAACATTGGACAGAACGGATTAATCGATTACACCTTTCATTAGAGCATGTGAATGCGGTAAATAATTACTCGCAAAAGTAGGCTGATAATCATCAGTTCGAAAACGACCAGTGATCCATAAAACAGTAAATGCTAAACAATATCTCAGTTTGACTTAATGCTTGCTTTGTTAATCGCTGAGTACAGACAATTGCAAATGATCGACATGCAAATTCCCCGTAATTTAGATAATGATCAATGATTTTTGAAGAATTACCTCTAGAAATAGTTTTTTGCAAATCTTTTCATCGATCTGCCGCCGCGGCATTCAGTGCCACCTCATACAGCGGTGATAAGAAAAGATCAATAGCGGCATGTTGCGGTAACTCGGTATTCATGTGCCACGAGTTGTAGAAAGGGAGGGAGGGAATGTACGCTGCTCTTCCGTCATAAAATTAGATATTGCTCCTACAAGTAGGGTACTAAAATAATTATTAGACATGCAACGGATGCCGCTGTACATAACGAGCTCCATTAAAGAAGAAGGTTCCAGATGGTACATATTGACAAGCAGACCACTGTCTAAGTAGCTTTCTAAACTTTGTGTTTTATTTTCCTTTTAACTCTACGCCATAACGCTGTTGACGGCAGACTTACAGCCTGCTGATGCCCATTGAATGAACTCATCTGATTGTAGACCTTCTGACCATATGATGGAGTAACGTCGTACTGGATGAGAGCAGAGAACTTTAAAATCACTCGATATTTATTGGTATCATGCAGATTGAAAGTAACTCAGCTAACTGATGCAAAACTAGAGAAATTAACCGCAACCGGTTCAGTCTGGCACTTGCTTGTCTTCTCTCTTCTGTAGGGGCAGAAGATTAGTACCTTATAGATCAACCTTCCGAACATGCTCGCGCACGCAGAGTGAGAGCTATCGTCGTTTCAGATTTCGTTGACTTTGAAATACCTCTTCCAACCTCGGCCTTATAACCTCGGTCACCAAATGGTTTGTGGCCACAGTCGTAAAATTGACTCTTCCTTAGCTTGGTATCAAGAACATTTAAGTTATTAACCAAGGGTTCTTCTCAGACAATCAGCTAACGGGCAAGAGTCAATAATCTTCCAGAATGAGCAACTGTGACTATAACTCTCCAAGGCGGTGAGGAGAGTTGATGAGTGTTGCTTCTTCCACTTGGCGACGTATATTTCTCCAGCTTTCACAGCATGGTTGAATTTGTCAGAGCCTCGAGGCTCAACTATACATTATTTTGTGAACCCAATATCACCATCCCATCACGCTGTGGCAATGGAAGTGTAACTTAGGATAGAAGCGTGTTGAATACCAAAGAAAAAATCGCATGTTCCTGGCAAGATCAATTATTAATGGGCAACCGTTGAAATTGCTCTCTTTGGGCTTTAACTCAGAGTATCCATTTTAAGCTTTCAACATCACTGCACAATGTTTGGAATCAAATGCGATGTTAAAGTCGTAATCGGTTTTAATACTGTTTCTTTAGATTAAAATAGGCATTTTTCTTACGGTTAACCGGATTCGTTTCTTCTGCCACTTATTATGAATAGTAATTCATGCTTATTGATGTATCAGTGGGACTATTTTCTACAAACTATGAGCAGAACAGTATCTCGTTGGAGCTACCATTATCAGCCTACGTCATACAACGTCAGAAAATTTCTATTTATATTGTTGGATTTAGTGTCATAACTTCCTTAAAAGCTTTGCAGGATATAAATTAAAAACTTGTAACAAAAGTCGTTTAATAAATGCGAAGCCTTTATAAATAAACTTTTATTAACTTCGCAAACTCAATAGCTGATGATAATAGTTTAAATTAATAAGAAATTATGAATAAGAGCAACGTTCTCGATCCTTTGTCCTGTCGATCAATTGACAAAGACCTAATTTCAGAAAATGCGCCTACTGCAACGATGGGCGCAATGCATGCTACAGAAGGAGCAATTGTCGTCTACATACTCGTTATTACGTTACGTTAATCGGGTGGCAAAAGTGCCAACCATTTCAAAACCTGCATAAATTCATTTCAGCTAAATAATTTTAATTAAGTAAGGGCAATTGCTAAAGTTCAATTGTCTCTTTCCTCATGACCCAAAACCTCAATCGTCAACGAGTAGTGATGAACTCAGCCGCAGACCGCCAGTCCTATACCCGTCATGTGCTCAGAAAACAGACAGAAGAAAAAGAAGAAAAAAGGAGAAAAAGGAGTGAATCTGCTCAGACAAAAAGAATTGCTATCAGCACACAGAAGTATTTCTGTAAAATATAATTCATAATGTAATAAAAAAGAAATCAGTGTCTGGGACTTTGCGGTTGGAAACTTTGTTTGAAGATACGTTTCTGTTCTTCCATATTTCTTAGCGTCTTAGGCAGGACAGGTAGCATTGCCTTGTGGTAAACCTCAGTACCTGCTGAAGTGAAGTTAATCTTGCTTCTGGTGTGTGAACGCAAAGAGACTCATCGTATAAACTTCACGTGCGAGGGATGGCTGCCATCAGAGCTACAAAGTCGTCATGATGAACAGGCTGTAGAT